GGAATGGGGAGTACTTGACGGATGTGCTGTACTGCCATCTCCCCACTCCCTCCTCCAGAGATGTGCTCCCAGACTCTCAGAATTTGCTGTGAAATGCCATCTGGATCAGAGTTAGTGGGATGCCAGGACCTGCTCAGGGCATAGTGTGCTCACTACAGAGCCTCAGGGAACCTCTGGGCAGCAGGGCCAGCTGTGTCAGCAGCTGTGGGCTTCCTGGGGCCCAGCCCCTTACCCTCCCCCAGGAAAGCCTGTCACTGTGCACCTTTCCCTTGGGACCCGGACTCTGAGCCAATTCCTGACTGTGAGGGACTGGTCTTCACTGGGCCTCTCTCTCCTGCAGACATTGCTGCTCTGAGGCGGCAGCTGGAGGCCTTGCAGGGGCAGGTAGGACGCCTGCAGGGAGCCTTCCTTCAGTATAAGAAAGGTGAGTTCCTGGACCTGGACTGAACCTGAGCCAGTCACCAGGGCAGGCCCCAAGCAGGGTCTGTGTTTGGATTTGGAGTTGGCCGGGCCTGAGGCAGGCCTGGTTCTAGGATTGGGGGCTCTAGGATGCTAGTGGGTTTGGACAATGGGCTGGACCTGGGATTGGGGCAGGACCTGGGGCTAAGCATAAGGTGGGGCAAAACAGGGCAGCCACATATTCCAGGAGCTGGAATCAGATGCAAGGGACATGGAGCAGGGAGTAGACCTGAACCAGCTCATTGGGCTGGCGGTAGCATGGTCAAGGCTACCAGGCTCCAGCCCCCACCATCACAGCCACCTGTGACTCGACCCAGATCAATGCCCCAAGTCCAGTGCAGTTCAGACCTACCCTACTGCTAACCTGTGCTGGTCCCTGGACACCCCACTACCCAGGATGCATTTCGTATCTCTATGGTGCTGGGAGTGCAAACCCCTCAAGATGTAGCTGCCCAGACCACAGCAACAGCGACTCCAGACACTGTCCTGAGAGTTGGGGCTGGGAAGCTGTGTGAGTGTTCACAGCTGTGAGGGTCTGACCTTGGCATGTGGCCATTGAGAGTCTCACCTGACACAGGCCCTGGGTCCGGCAGGGGGCAGGCTGCCTCTGGGCTCTGCCAGTGCTGGGCTCTCCTGCTCCTCCCTGGGTGTTCATGGTGGAGACTCTCCCCCAACCTGGGTGCTGAGGAGTCAGAGGCTCCAGCAGCACAGCCCAGTGCCTGTGCCTGTGGGCATCTCCACCTCAGTCCCTAATTTCCCCCCCTCCTCCCCGCTTTCCCCATGTCAGCTTTGAGCTCAAATCATTCAGCAAATCTCATTGATGCAAAGAGGAGTTTCTGACGGAGGAGGTAACACAGGGGTGAGACATAGGGTTGGCTCCTACGTACGTAAAACCACTAAGGACTCATGTACGAAGGGTGAGCATTTCAAGCATTTGGTATGTCTCCCTCTCTTCACAAACATACATGTGTGCTCACTCACTCAAAGGAAAATTCGTGATATACACCTGCCACACATGTGTGTATTATACACTTGCCATCACTCACCTCATGTCATCTACACCCACGAGCACACACGCATATTCACACACACCAGGTGGACCTCCAGTGCTCCCATGTGCCTTCAGATGGACACGTGGCCATATTCGTGTATGCACACACAGACCCACCCGGGTGCATGTAGTGAATGGCAGATGAACTCCTGTCCAGGGCTGCTCTGGGTGCCCTCCTGAGCCTGTGGAGAGTATGGCCCCTGAACCCTTGTGGAAGGGTTACAGTGGGTCAGGGTGCAGCCTGGGCTCCTCACCAGCCCTTTGGGGCTGGAGCATAGCCCTCTCAGGAGCACTGAAGGCTTCTATGCACAAACCGAGAAGTCAAAGGGATGGAAAATGAGCCTGGCCAGCATGGCCCAGTGGATGAATGTTGGCCTATGAGCCAGGAGATCATGGTTTGATTCCTGGTCAGGCCATGTGCCCGGACTATGGGCTGGATCCCCAGTAGGGGGCATGAAGGAGGCAGCCAATCAATGATTCTCTGTCATCATTGATGTTTCTATCTCTCTCTCCCTCTCCCTTCCTCTCTGAAATCAATAAAAATATAT